CATCATAGTTGTCCAATGTGTTGCCTAAAGAGTTGAATATACAAATCTGCATGTTGTTTTGATTCATAGCGTTGCATTGCTTTATGTAAGCTGAATATTTTCCTGTATTAATGTCCAGCAGCCAATCCGATTGTGTGTTTTATCCATTAGAAGTAGCCAGAGCAAATTGCTTATTGCTTTATTAATCGTGCCCTTTTCTGAGGTCCTTCTGTATGATAATGCCCATTCCACTCAGGATTTCTGGTTTAATGTGTCTACATCCTCCCTAATTTTATAATTGGCTACAAGCTGGTCTTCAGCTGTCATTTTCCATGGCAATCCTGAGACAGATCGGTTGCTTTTGGACCCAACAGCCAGTTATTTTTCCAGTCACATTGACCAATAAGGTTTTCGGTTCCTAGTCTGTATGATGTAAGTTGTAGGCTATAATTTCCTGGTAACTGTGAGCTTTAGTGTATTCATTTCCTGGTTATTGGTTCATCTTTGTCTTTTGTGTTTATGGCGTTCTCAGTTCCTGAGTCACAAGAGCGTTTTCAGTCTGTGCTGACAGAGAAGCCTATAGAACAGCAGCTGATCATACTGGAGAGGATTCAGAAGTGTAACCACCCAAGCCTAGCTGATGGGAATAAAGCCAAACTAGAGGTGAGATGAGACATGTCAGTCAGTTGTTGATCCTCCGAGACCTTTGTCTGTGGTTATCGTTGGCACTGCAGAAGTCACTAATTGGAAGAGTACGGATGACACGGGAGAATGACGCCTCAATAAATGGTTGCAGGAGAGGAAGGAGTCCGTATGCAAAAAGTAAAGTTCTTGTATGTAAAATCTTGAGGCACCCCCATTCTAGAATGTAAAAATGGCGTTGTCCCCCCCCCCAAATCTTTACCAGACCCTTATCCTAAATAGGGGTTTGATATGGGTCTAAATAAAAAAAGAATGAATTTGTTCTAGTGACAGTTCTCACTAAAAGTGAAAGAAGTCCCTAGTTTTGGGTTGTCACCAGATAAGGAAATGATTGAGAAATCTTCTAGTGCTGATTCTGATGACTACCAGGGATTTCCCTCCCTTTGGAGTGATTTCCTCCAAATGTTGTAGGTTACATCCATGCTCCCTGATATTTTTGGTATGAATGGGTGTAGTCCAAACAGCTTGGGCCATATGCATAAACTTTAACAGTGTTAATACAGGTGAAACTCGAATAATTAGAATATCGTGCAAAAGTTCATTTATTTCACTAATGCAACTTAAAAGGTGAAACTAATATATGCGATAGACTTATTACATGCAAAGCAAGATAGTTCAAGCCGTGATTTGTCATAATTGTGATGATTATGGCTTACAGCTCATACGGGTATGTCCTCCCGTGACCAGCTGTATGCACCCGCGGCTCCAGCTGTCAGACAGTGGCGAACCATTGCTATGTACACAGAGCCGATCAGACAGGCTCGGTGTACTGTGATTCGTTATCACAGCGATCACATGGCAATGTTTACATTCCCAAGCCCTTTCCTACCTCCTACATCAGCGGCAGTGGAGAGTACAGGAACTAATGAATGGGCGAGTCATCTATTCATTAGTTCATAGTGAATACAAGCTGCAGCAGCAAAAAGGAAAAGAAAAAATGTCAAATAAATGTAACCCTTTCAGCCCCTTTATTCTGCCTATAATACTATGTATAGGCAGCAGAGTCTCTGCTCTGGCCTGTACATTAACCCTTTCACCTACCTTATACTGCACATTCATTAATCTCTTTACCTCCATCCTCCCTCTGTATATGACCTGTACATTAACCCCTACACCTCCCTCTGTCTATGACCTATACATTAATTGTATATTGTGCAGTATTACCAAACTCCATGTTTTTACCCCTTTAATACCGGCATCTTTCTTCGTTTCCAAAAAATAGTGGCCAAAAATAAATCAGATCACCTTGGAGTGCCTACTTTCCAAAAACAGGTCATTTCAGGGGGTTTTCCATTGTCATGTCATTTTTATCTGCTATGGTGTATAAAGGAAAGTAAAAAGACGCTTTTTAAAAAACATCTTTGGTCTTTTTTTTACTTTATATAATAAACAATAAAAAGCCGTTATTAAATGCCACAGAAAGTAAACTCTGTCTTAAAAAATGTATTTAAAAAGAATTTGGTTACAATGTTGCGTGAAGGAGGTATTCTCAGCCAAAATTGCACAGTGCTGAAAATATGACCTGGTAATGAAGTAACATGCTGGTACTGAAGTGGTTAAGTAGGTCTATAAAAAGTTTTATTTATCTTGATAATTGTCTTGTGGACTATTTTATAGAAATTGTTCGGCTTCCTCCTGGACTATATCATTGATTTGGCTGAGCAGGAAGCTCCAGATCTCAAAACCATTGACAAACTGATTCTGTAAGTAATGCAATTTGAATAGTAGTTTTGTATCTATTTGTTTTCTTATTCTGGTCAGGAAACAAAAACCACATGATCTGTTGGTTAATTATAAAAGATTGCAGCAGGATATTATGTGATCATTCAGTCAGCAGGTGGAGCGCTCACTCTTTTTTTGCTATCATTACCTTGTGTAGTAAAATGTCTGTTGATTTCAGATAAAAATAACGCAAGGTGAAATTTTGGCTCCATTCATACCTATATTCTAGGTGTGATTAGGGATTACTGCGTCAGGAACTTGCAATTTCCTGCAGCAGGAATACCTAATGTGCTATTTACAAGTGGCAGCTGTCACCCATTCAAGTTAATGATCGAGTGTCAGCCTCTGCATTTAACCCCTTCATGACTGAGGCCCTTTTTTCCATTTTTGCACCCATGTTATATTCCACATTTAGGCCTGAAAATGACGTAAAACCCCCCAACATTATATATTTTCTGAATGCCATCGCCGGGGGGGGCGGGCCCTTCTTCGGGACGCAGAAGCGATCTGGCGACAGGTAAGTCGCCAGGATCGCTTCTGTTGTAAAGCCGACAGTCGGCTCTACAAGTTTAAACAGACTCCCGGCGGCAAAAGTCGCCGGGAGTCTGTTTAAACAGCCCCGATGCTGGCGACGTACACTGTACGTCGTCAGTCACGAAGGGGTTAAAAGCAGCAGAACGACAGCACGACAGTGTTAGTGAAGGTGTTATGATTACATACGTATTGGAATCAATCACTGTCCCTGGACGCACGATCAATGCTTCCACGGAACGTGATTCATTCTTAACCGCATGTAATCGTATCACCTACGACTACATGTGTTGTGCCAGCATTCAGATGCAGCAGCTGCCACGTAATAAATTGAATTGGTGACACCTGCCCCTTGTAGATGGCGGATTAGGGATTCCTGCTGCAGGAAATCACAAGTTCCTTACGCAGGAATCTCTAATCGCACCTAAAATATAGGTGTGGATGGAGCCTTAAAGTGAACCTGTGAGTACATGCAGGGGGACGTGACATGTCCCCCTATGGAAGGTGATGTATAGTCTACTTTTGCAGCAACCTGCGTCATAAATTTCCACTGTATTGATTATCTCTGGCTGCTGCAATTATCCATCACTTATGTGTGTGGGGGAAGTAACTGCTACCACCCCACCATGCATTGTGGTTCTTCCTCCCCCCAGCTTCAATGTCAATACATGACATAAGGGCCGATGAGAGAAAAACCGTGGCGAGGGGGGAACAAGTATTCAAAACATCCAGAAGTGGAAGATATCAGAGGTGGATGGAGAGTTTTAACACACATGCTCCTGGAACGGTCATGTACTTTTATAGGGTGACTCTACTTTACTATGCTTGCATGTACTAACATGGGCCCTTTAACACTCACACACGAATGACTTATCTCGGTGACCCACCCCTTATCACTCAGCCAAGTTTCAATAAGAGACAACTGTGTTTGCATCAGAGTTACCTTTGCTGACCTGTCTTTTTAGTTAACCCATATTAATCCCAGAATCCTTTGTCATGTATAAATAGTTTATTTATAAAACAATGACTGCGTGTGTATGTATATATGACTTTTAGGGCTCGAACACACATGTTGTGCTGCACTTTACTGTGTGTTGAACTGCGTTTTTTTAAAATGCAGTTTGTCTGTACAGGTCACATCAAGGGTCAGAATATTACTTTTTTTTTGTATTTTGATAAACGTGTATTGACGTGCATCTTTGTGCATAGCATTACAATGCAGCATTCCTACATATGTCCTCAGTGTGGTGTGAACTGGGCACATAGACAGCAATGGTTTGCAAAGTGTCTTCGAATTCAGCCAGTGTTGATCAGTGCAGCTCAATGCATCTGATGGGACTGAGCCCTTAGGTGACAATTCATTTATTATCAAATATTAATATTTTAATATCACTTCAGAAACTACGAAACAACGTGCTTGTCTCTACTATTAAAAGTTGGTAAGCTTTTTTTGTGATATTTCCCAAATGGCCATTTTCAGATTTAGATAGTAAACCACAGGATGGCGTAAACCGGGACACTGACGTCAGGGATTTGTGAGGATGATCAAGTTTACTGATCTGTGGAGAAATAACAGTCATAACCAAGAGAGAACTACCATATGCCATTATGTACTAAAGAAATACACTTGAATAATGCCTTTGTTTACAATTTGTATAAACTTTCCCGGCTTCATTTCAATCCTCTGTCTTTTTGGAACAAACCTTTTGTGCTTGTACTATAACCCAGACCACCTAAGAAGAATGCCTTTCCCCGAGAGCCTTACTTTGTTGTGGATAATCTTGTTCTGAAGTTTATATGTAAATATCCCATCGCACTCCAAGCTGAAATTTTTTTTTTTTTATTACAGGTAATTTATATAGCGTTTACAATTTACACAGCGCTTTTACGCAGTGCTGCAAGGCAGAAGTCCTAACCACTACGCCACTGTGCTGCTCCCACTTGAAGTATTTTGGTGGGTCTAAAATGGCCTGAAGATGGCTGCATGTAGATCAATGTATCTTGAGAGAGATTAAGCCACCAGCACACCGTAGGTCCCCATTATTGGACATCAGATGAACATAGTATCACATATGATTGCAATATTTTGGATACTTGTGTAGCCCCTTTTTATCAAGCAAAACATAGTGGGAGGAAGCATTGGTGGTCACACTATGATTTGTCTGATGAAGGGGCTACACAAAGCTCGGAAACGTTGCAGTTGTTTGTGATGCCATGTTTATCTGACGTCCAATAAAGATGGGATGTTAACATGGACTTCTGGTGACTTACTTTCTTATACACAGGCCCGGTTTCCCCACAAGGCCACCGAGCCCAGGCGGCAGGGCGCAGATGTGGAATCCCACGACGCCCAGCGGTGTGGAATCCCCCGACGCCCGGAACATAAAGTGCCGGGCAGTAAGTTGCCTTCTACATTTAGTCCTGAATGGGAAGGCAGGACTAAATGTAGTGGCAGGGATGGGGGTGCATTGCGGAACCTGGCCTTGGGGCGGCAGGGAGAGTAAATCTGGCCCTGCTTATCCATTGATCTCATGTTTACCATCTGTTCACATTAGCAGCTCTCCCTGCTTTCTACCACCGTGACAAAATTAAGAAGTTATATTTGGTGATTTCTGAATATAAATTTAGATTTAGTGAGCTAAAAATGTCTGCCATTACAAACCATTTAAACCTTTTTTTGTGTGTTTGTTTAGACTTGAATCTAATTGGGTAATTGCCCATAACTTGTAGTTGATACAATTATAAAAATAAGGCCCTACTATTAGGCAATGGGTGACAGCTTTTCTGATCTTTGAAGCTTGAGGGGAAGAGAATGGATGTCAAGGTGAGAGACGAAACTAATGGCACTAGATAAGAAACCTCCTATTGTTTCTCTTAGCTAAAAAAAAAAAGTTGTATACCTCTGAAATAGCAGCAGACAAATTTTAGGATACTAGAAAAGGCTGCATTAGAATCGAGAAATTGCTTTGAAAACCAGAAGGATGTGATTTTCCAATGCACCATGTTTAAGAACATTCTTGTTTCTTCTCTTATGTCAGGCCCCTGTACAGCTTGTGCCAGATGTTCCCAGAAAAGGCAGCGGACTGTGTGAGAGAGGCCCTGCGGGACATCACTCGTACTTTGGATGAAGCCATAGAATCTAAAGGCCGGGCCACGTTCCCTGCATTACATGTGGTATGTAGGATTTCAAGATTCATCCCTTGCCCTAAGTCTCAGCAATTCTTACTTATCATGTAGCATTGCACTGGATGTGAATGTGTCCCATATAAACATTGTAGAAAAATAGCAGTAAATAAATATTCGTCTCAGCTGGCCTTTATAAAGAGATGTGGTCGCTTCCAGAGGTTTTGGTGTAATTGTACAGCAATGTCACTGTGCTGGTATAGAAATAATCTCCTCAAAGAACCTGAGTAGTATAGAACCCTGCTCAGGTTGGAAGACTGACCGATTCCTTCTTTATCTTCGATTGGACGTGAGCCCTCTGATTCTCTTTGGAGGGTCAGAGGGAGATTACCCAGCATGCACTGATTTAGTAGATGTGCACATCAGTAAAAATGAATGTTCCAAAGGGTTAATGTCTGTGTTTTATTAATGTAAATGTATATATAGTCTACGACAATTGGAAAAGGCTACTGAGGTGGTTTGTGTGGTAGGATGTTTTATCTCACTGATTGGCAGCTTCCACTGTGCAGATCATGAGTGCACCTTAAGGCAAAAAACTGTAAGTAAAGTTCATCTTAAAGCAGGACTCAACTGCTAACTGCAGAGGGTAAACTTTTGTCATAATGTGCAAGTACATACAGCATAGCTCATTATGGCAGACCGGTATGCTGTCGGCACTCTCAGGTCCATTCTCGTTGTCACCACTTTGTTCGCTGCCTCTGCCATCTTTTCTGCCACTTTGTGGTCCAATGTCTGCCCTTCAGGTAGCCACTGATGCAGTAAGTCCATGCTGCACTAACATCCCGCTATCTGGCTCCATTCACTGTGCTTTACAGATCCCCAGAGTGGGCAAGTCGTATACAATGCATTGTTCAAAATTGCTAGGAGAAAGGAAGAAGATGATGTTTGGCAGCAGACACTACTAAAAGTCACCACTAATAAAACCTCTACCTCCTAGTATTTTTTTAGGGATGTGTTTCACTTTAAGGTGACCTTGACATCCATTTCAAAAGTTTATGAATTATTATTACCTTTTAATTAGATAGAAGAAAAATCTACTCTGAAAATAGTTTCACCTTTAGTAAAGGCCTGACTTTCCTGAACTGTCATCCCCCTGTTGAGTAGTACCTCGGGGGCCATTAAAGGCACTTATTAGATGTGGGAATGGAAGTTGGCCGAGCTTCTTTCCTTAGAAGTGAAACACACGGGCACACAGGAAAGGTTTTTCTGGCTAACAAAGGTAGTAGCAGACATATTGCATTGCTTGTTCTTAGACAGGACTTTTACTTTATAAATGTGTAAAACGGCTGACATGCATGCTGTGGGGATCTATGTAGCCTGACTAGAGCTGCAGGTAGATTGTACAGCAGATTTGATCATTGTGAATATTTTTGTCTTGTAGCTGCTTTACTTCAAGATCACAGCAATTTTATTTCCTACTTCTGATTTCTGGCACCCTGTAGTCACCCCAGCTGTCACTGTGATGAGCCAACTATTGACAAAGGTAAGAGAGCACTGTTCCTGTTCCCTATTTCTTGTGAAGATGTTCCAGCTTATGCAGAGCTGTCTGGATTTTGTTTTACATGTGTCCAGAAAACCCTGACTGCTGTATTTCAGGTGTGATTTTCATTCAGGACAGGCTCACACCATTTTCTGGACCAGATCCGGAATGCAGTGCATTGCCTTTTGTTGTGTTTTTACCGTGATTTTGCCACATTCCAAAGCTGTGGTTTTTTTTAGCTTAAAATTGGCTTTCGGGTTCTAGTGTGTTTGCATGTGTTTTTGATGTGTTTCCTTTCATTCCAGTGCATTCCAGACCAGACAAAATGCAGTATTTTTCTGGTCTGGGACAGACTGCGCTGGTGTGAACAGAGGCCAGAAATGGCATAGGGATACCCTTTTAGTCAAATAAAGTTTTTTATTCTTTTCAAACAAGGTTAACCAACGAGGAGCTTAGAGCGATAAAAAGCATATGATCATCCGCCACTGTGTTGTGCCGTGTGGCTCCGTATACCTCATTAAACGTAGAGGGGAGGGGAGGGGGGGGAGGCAGATCAGTGGACGCGAGGCAAGACAAAACAAGGACAACACAACACAATACAAATACAGACAATGTTATGGTACGAGGACGACCAGATTGCTCGTGAAGGCGGATGGAGACCTCAGGTTCCTGAGGCATAGCCCGGCCTACGACATACGATGTCAACAGAGAGTAGTGATAAAACTAGTCCCGACTATGGTGCTGAGGTCAACAAGGCAGGGAAAGCAACTGAGTCTTGAAAGCAAATCCATGGCAACCACAGGTTTCGGAAGGATTCATTGCGGTCTGGGTCTATAGCCACCATTTCTTCCATACGCATAGTATCGTTAATGCAAGTCAGCCACATTGTTAAAGATCACTCCCTATAATAGCGTTGGGAACAAGTCGGGTGCTTCCCAGCGCAGAAGTGCGTCTCCTGCAGGAGCACAATATCAACCTTTTGCTTATGCATGTGGTAAAGAATCTGAGACCGTTTTTAGAGGGATGATTAAACCCTTTCACATTAAAATCCACTAGGCCCAATCCAGCCGGCGGGTCCGCGGGTGAATGCGGCGACCTCTGTGAGGTCTGGAAGAAGGTGGAAAGCTTCCGGGACTTACGTCCACCCGTGCCGGAAGGTGCTTTGGGGTGTCTTTTGGTACCCATCCGGTTTGTATATCGCTAGTGGAGCTGTAGAAAGGCTGTAAGGGGCACCACGCACGGGAGCAGAGAGAAGATGCGACTCACTCCGAGATGCGCCGGCCACGCCCCCTCAGGGATACCCTTTTAGGATGCATTTTGAGGCCAGAAACAATGTGGTCTGGTCTGGAGGTGATCTGGATGTGGTGGGAATGGGCCCTTAAGCTGAAATTCCCCTCTAATTAGCTACATAATTACTTTTTAATATCTAGAGTAAGAAACAAAATATGCCAACAAGGCTGATATGATTCCAAAAAATACCTGATCTCTGGTGAAAAGTGTAACTTCTATTTCAGTGCCCCGTGTCTTCACTGGAAGATGTGGCTGCAGGTCTCTTCATCTGTTCTATGTTCCTGGAATACGTGTCCCTGTCACAGAGGTTTGTTCCAGAGGTCATCAACTTCCTGCTGGGGATTCTACACTTGGCCACAGTACGCAGAACTTCTATTGGTAGGTATTCGCCTTGTCCAAAGTTAGATAGAACATTGGGGGCCGACAGTAAAACACTGGAGCAGGGAAATATACAGAACATTAGCAGGGAATGCAGCAACCAGTTTCCTTGTCTGTTTCATTTCCCATCGAATAAAAGATTATAACTGAATGTTCCAAATGAACAATTTATTTATTTTCTCAAGTATTTTCCCATCCACCCCTAAAGTTAAAGCTGAACTCTAATCAGATAAAAAAACAAATGCAGCTTTGTAATCATTAATACTTGCATTTATTTTTTTAAAGCAGCTTGAGTACCTGAATCTGACCAGGTATGAGCCCCTCCCAGTCCCTTGTACAGACTTTGCTATTACCTGCCTTTGCGTGGTAATCGTAGGTTTGATATAATCCAGTTTTTAATGACGGGTTTCTAGATGTAAGATAATTTCTTACTTCGTTACCGCAGGATACTGTGTTTCCGGTTTCAAAAGGTTTGGAACTTTGATATCCAGATGGGTCTAAACCTGCACAGTATTTCAAACAATTGATTGCTTATGTTTATCTGGCTGCATTCTTTCCTTGTTTTCATTATGTTCTGGGTCACGAGGACCTTAATAATGGAACAGATCTGATATCTTCCAGTCATGAGGTTGGAATGTATGATTCTCTCCAGAATTACCGTCTATCAGGAAGGCTAAACATGGAATCCATTTCATTTGTGTAGTCTCCGTTCACATGCAGTGCTTTTTAATGTCCCCCTCAACCTCAAACCATTGCTTTTTAATGTGTTTTCGAAACCCTTCCCCCCACTGGCATGATTCTAATGGGCAGCCTTAATGGATAATAGAAAAAGGCAAGAGAGAGCTGGACGCACTTAACAGTACTAAGAAGTGATGAAAGTTTCCAATGAGGGTCCCGGACTGCAGAACATTGCATTTAGCACGTTTGTCACCAGAGGTCATTGTATTCTACATCCACAGATCAAATTCAGCAGCATCAGTATGCTTCTGTTAACTTGACCAAAACCCTGGTTAGTTGCCTGCTTATTTTTAAAGGCTACGTTCTCCTTTTGCAAAAATTAAAGAAATGCTTATTTAATAATATAAAAAAAAAGACAAAAATTAATTTTTTGTCTTGTAAGGATTACAAGGTTATGAGTCCTCATAAGGTAATTCTTTTTTAGGAATTCTGAGTTCCATAAATGTTTTCAGTACATTGGGAAGTAGTAGTTTTTCTTTCTACAGATGTCTTGCCTCACGCTTGCTGTTTTATGACAGGTTACTATGTTGTTCCTCCATTTAAACACCACGGGAAGTCCTCAGAACTTCTGCTGGCAGACAGCGAGGAGGACATGAAGTCCTGGAAGAAGACACACATGCCGCTCACAGCAATCAATGGGCTGGACACTGAGGACCAAACTGAGATCAATCATTTTAGGTGAGCATATCATAAATCTGATACCAGACTGATAAGTCAAGGGAGTCCCTGGTTTAGATTTGCCAAGTGAACTTGTTTAGCTTGTTTGAAAAAAAAATCCTATCAACACCTTTTGTTTTAAAAACCTTGGATCTAGTTATACGTTTTATTTACTTCTGTGCTCTGGGGCAGCCATCTTTGTTGCTGTAACATAATGCATTTCTGCAGTGTGGCACAGCTGTGGCACTTCATCTGTCTTCAGTCTATGGACAGAGCTCTGTGAACACATGTTCAGTAAAGGCAAAGTATGTCAAAGCTTCCCCCGGTACCCATTGTATTCAATGGCAGGATTGTGAACTAAAGGGCCACCCTTCGTTTAATAGTCAGATACATCTTTATTTGATAAGGGTTGAGGGGACAGTGTAGAAATTGCAAATGTGTTTTGGGGGCTCATAGAAATACCCCCTTCATTAGGGTCTACTAAGCTGCGCACAGAAACCAATCAGCTTCTATCTTCAGCTTGTTCCGTTAAAATGAAAGCTGGAAGTCGATTGGTTGCCATGCACGACTGTTCCAGATTTTGTGTGTGCCAGTCTTAGTACATTATCATTGTCACCACAATGCATTATTATTCGGTATTGTCACCATTACTACTTTATTTTTAAGTGCTTTTTAAAAACCCAATCCTCTGATATATTGCAATCCTACAGGCTGACGTGTGTCGCAGTGAGCTTAGACTTGGTAAAACGATGTGTGAATATGTATGGATCTTTACCAGCCTTCCAGGAGATCTTTAATCCAATTTCCTTACTTATCAATGAACACCTTCCACGAAGCACATATCCCCAGGAGATCCAGGTAAAATCTCTCCAAATGCATATATGGGCAAACACAGCATAGTTTCAGGTACATTCAGCATGCATTTGAGATCAGTTTAAAGGAGAACTATGAGACAAGTGATTTTCACTAAGCCTCATAATCTGAGCCGACCTGTGACAATGAAAGTGTCACAGGTCGGCTCAGTAGATCGGGAAGTGATCGAACATATAGCGTCGCTCGCTCACTCACTTCTCGATCTATCCGTGCAGAGAGCCGTGACTGTAACTCACGGCTCCCTGCAGGGATTCCCCCCTCCCCTGTCCGATCCTCCAGCGCTGACTGGTGGAATGGATGGGGGAGGGGGCGGGTACAGCTGGCTCTGCCTCTAGATAGGCAGAGCCAGCTGTCACTCACGCAGCTGGATGGATCCAGACAGAATTGTCGGGATCCGTTTCCGGCTGCGGCGTCTACAGCTCGCGGTATACTGAGCTTTGGGTGACGGAAGGACGCTAGTTTGTTTCCTCCCGTTACCCTTAGGAGAACTATGGGGAAAAGCCTTAACCCCATAGTTCTCCTTTTAAGATGCTTTTGAGATCATTGACAGGTGTATTGGGCCTGTGGTAGACTTCCTTCTGAACTTCTTTTGACCTCCTTCTGAGCTGCTTCAAACTGCTTTTTATGTCTACATTGACTTGCAATGAAACACTTGTATGCAGGTACTAAATGAGTTGCCTCTCTTGTTGGCCATACATGTAATGACAAGCTATCAGTTGACCAATCCAGGGATCTCCGGTCATTCACTGATTGATGCACCCATTTGGTTCATTTAATTCTCTCATTTTCATAATGCAAATAAAGCAACTTTTGTTGTTTTCTTTTTACATTTCAGGATGTTTGCCGAAATATTCTAAATGATATTAAAAGAAATGGAAAGAAATCCTACAAACCGCTCGTGTTTGAGAAACAGGGGCCTGTCCCAATGAAAATGTTCACGCCAAAAGTTATGCCTGTGTGAGTATAGGGAAAAAACATGAGACAAGATTGTACAGAGCTGGAGCAGGGAGACAAGTCTGTTATTAGCTCCTGTCATCTTTTGTGACCAGATGAAATATTGCTGTCGGTAAATTGCACCTTCACCCGAGTCTAACAGGAACACAACTGTGATGCCTTAGTTTCATATGCTTTCAGAGATGTCAGAGCTATTAGAGTCTCCATATCATGTGATGCTGCTTTAAATCTGTTGACAGATTTGCCACTTGCATGAATAAGCTTTTTTCATTTCTTATTATTGAGCTTATAAAGGTATACAGACATTGTGTGTAAGGCACCTGCATCTGGCAGACATTATAATACTTTCTTAAGCAAGAGGGCCTGCTTGCCTGAGCGGTGGAAGGGAATGCCGGAGACCACTGTGTTCATACGCTCAGACTGCAGCGCAAGTTCATTTTAGATGATGCAAAGCACCAGGGAGCATTTGGAGTTCCCCAGGAACAAGACTATGTGGTGCTTCTATGTACTAAGCCATAACTAAAGGGATGGTGCAGGTTACATGACACATGCAGGCAGCCATTCCCTGGCCTATTATCTCACAGATCTCTCTCTTTGTGGCAGGCTGGAATTCGGCAAAAAGCAGGGCTGTAATAAGGTGGAGCAAGAGCGCAAGAAGCTCATTCACAAACACAAGCGGGAGCTTAAGGGAGCTGTGCGAGAAATCCGAAGGGACAATCAGTTCTTGGCAAGAGTGAAGCTTTCAGAGACCATGGACAGGTGAGTGAAACAAGACTACTATACTTCTTTATTTATAGATTAAGAAACGTATGGCCCTGTTATCCCCCTGCTGCAGTATACAGGAAGCATTGCATGCAGGGAGGGATGCTACTCAGAGTAACATGGGAAGGGAATGAAGTCTTGTCTAGATCGGGAATTCTTCTACCAAAATAAGAAAATTGTTACTGTACTGGGACCCAAGAAGAGATTTTATGTAGGAGAATGTCAGAAAAGCCTTATAAAGATAATTTATAATGGCCATATCATTAAAATAAAACACATAAACCATAATTAAGGCAGCTCTGCCTTTAAAAAAAATATAAATATTAGGGATGCACCGATACTAGTACCAGTATCTGTGCCGATACCAAGTATTTGGGTGAGTAAGCTTGCTGATCTCCTTCCGATCGATGTGGGTAGACCCCCGGCGTGCCGGTCCCGGGCCCGCACAGGGGACAGTGGCGAGGGAGGTGCACACGTTCCACCACTCAGTACGAACAATCCAGAGGCTATATCGCTTAACGCCGGATCACTTGCACCTGAACAGCCATCGCTGGCTGTGTAAAATGATACCAGGAACATGGCTGCAGCAGCTGTGTTCTCGGTATAACCACTTCAGGAGGAGGACGTACATATACGTGAACCCGTCTTCAGTGGTTAAACAGTTGCACTGTTTTTTGGACAACTGGCAGCTTAATGATTTTATTTGTTGCCATCACTCCTAATGTCTGCATTTCATTTCTCAGGGATGTGGAGAGGAAGAGGAAGGTCAAGGAACTCTTCAACAGTCTGTCCAATCAGGAGGGAGAATGGAAAGCCTTGAAGAGAAGACAGATGAAGGGGAAGTAACATGGACTCGCTGCATACAATGTTACCCCCTGCCTGTCCTGTATGAGGACAGATTTTATCTTTTTCCATTTTATGGAAACCGTGTTTGATATCTGTTCTATAACTTTATATCATGTAAGCATGGACATGACATGCTGACACTTGGAGCCAGGATTTACTTGTGGACATTGGTCAATCCTTTTTTAAATGTTTGATTATTGGAAAGTGTAATCTTGATTCCCAGTTTGTGGAATACAAGACAATTACAAACCTATATTTAAGGTTCTAACATTTGTGTGTTTCTGTTTTCCTCACAATAAGCTCATGACAGGTTCTCTTAGTCTGTGCATATTGTATGTGCCCAACCTCAATTACATTTTGGGTAGATGATGTGTGCTGGGGAGATATTTGATCCTGGAGTTTCCAGAACTGACCACCATTTCAGACCACAACTAGAGGTCATGTAAGCTAGTGGACAGTTCCAAAAATGCCCTCCACCCATTATATTCAGTTTTATTGTGTGTGTGTGTGATTAGGGGAACCCTGGATGTTGTGTGTGTGTGTGTGTGTGTGTGATTAGGGGAACCCTGGATGTTGTGTGTGTGATTAGGGGTACCCTGGATGTTGTGTGTGTGATTAGGGGAACCCTGGATGTTGTGTGTGTGATTAGGGGAACCCTGGATGGTGTGTGTGTGATTAGTTGTGTGTGTGTGTGTGTGTGTGTGTGTGTGATTAGGGGAACCCTGGATGTTGTGTGTGATTAGGGGAACCCTGGATTGTGTGTGTGAGATTTGGGGAGCACTTTTATAATGTTCTATTATCTGTGGTGTATAATAATAGAATGTAGACAGTGTCTATGTTATATGACAAGTAAAGAGACGCCGATTAGTTGCTGTGTTCCTTTAGTCCAGCTTGTCACTCCAGCTGTGCTGAAACTATAAATCCTGTCATGCCTGTGGCTGTTAATTTTGCAATGCCTCATGGGGCTTGTAGTCCCAGAACCGCTGCAGTGCTGAGGTTGCCCTGGTTTAGTCCATCTTGCTCTCTCTGAATGCAGTTTTGTTGATTTGTAGATTCTTCTACAGGGCAGTGATGTCAGTGCAGCTTCAATGGCTGGGGATGCAGCAGCGCAGTGATGCAGCTGGCCGTACACCTTGCAATCTAATTGTACAATATGCTTTATGTCTGCCAACAACTGTTGTATGTGAGTCTACCTGACTGGAGATCAATGGAATGGATTGTTCACATCGGCCTTCTATTATATCGTTTCTGTGTATCTAAAGATTAATATACACATTGCAATCCGGCTGTACATCTGCCAACAACTGTGTAGTGCCAGAGCCTGCCTGATTGGATAGATTAGGTAGGTCCTCCATATTACATCGTTTTGGTAAACCTAAAGTTGATTGGACGGTCAGACTGTACCATATATGGTGACCTTTGATTGGAAGCCGAGAGGTCAGACACAACCTTGAAAAATATGCATTTAAATGATTATCATGATGAGGAGCACCGGAAGGGAGTTGTGACTTCATTGTTTGGGGGACAAACCACTCTTGGGGGGTTTATATATTGTGACGCTGCTTCAGCTTTTTATTAATCCCTGTGGTCTGGCATTCCCATACATTGTTGTCAGATTTGTACGGTGTCTGTCCTCGTGTGTCATCTGGAAAATTGGCCGTCACCAAATGTATTTTGTTAAAGCTGAATTCAGCCTTCCCTTCAGTCTTGCACAGTTGTAGCGGCTCCTCTCCTGGACTGATATGGCTCACTCTGATATCACTGCACACTGCGAGCTTCTCACAATGTGTATTAGAAGCTGCGGCAAGTCAGAGCCCGTCTCCTTTCCTGGCTGGAGGATGTCCTACATCATCTATCCCTTTCCTCCCTAGCCTGACTGTCCCCGGCCCACCTCTTTCATTCATTGAATTTCATATCTTTCAATCATGGAGGATCAGCAGCACTTGGCACATGTGGGCATTACCTTGGGCAGTCAATGTACAAATTCAGTCTGCCAGGAACACCTACTCATCCCGATTGACATCCACCCATCGAGGCATTCTAATATTTGCATAACTCTTCCCAAGAGCCAGCTCACTGAGAAGTCTTGAGGGGAGTACTTGGGCAGGGTGCTGTGATGTTTTCAGGAGAGTATTACAGCACTCCGCCGGCTCCTCCTACCAGCCACGATCTGCCTGCATGGCATAGGGAAGCAAAGAGATCCGGTGATGATGTTGGTGCAATGAAAACAGATTTTATTTATTTTGGGAAGGAGGAGAAAGGAAGAACCAGGGGAGGCAAAATAAGCTGATGAAACATTTGCTTTCATATAAATGATGAGGTCAGATACTCTTTGATGAGTAATAGCTTGGACCGGTTTTATTTTTGGTTCATCGTGCGTTCTTCATATATAAATAAGCTACAATAGTGCAGGAACTGCAAGCAGCAAGGAGAAATCCCAGGTTCCAAATCAAAATACCTGTATGAGAAACCTCAAATAGGATCTGCCTTTCCCTCAGGCTGAATCAAATCTGCTTTCCCTGGCAGTAGATTGCAGGCCAGGATTTGGAGAATGGCAGCTTCCGTCTGAGGTTTGTCACACAAGTCCTTTTTTTTTTAATGATCCAGTACAGTACATCTGGGTATAGCGGCGCACATGGGCCCATTCACACGGCTGTAGTAGCTTCTGATCCTCTAGGCCTTGTCAAGTACTTGCTGGTCTACATCACTTCCCTCATGTGCTTGACATGTTCATGAGTCACCGCGGCCTTGTAAAGAGGAAAACAAAACAGTTAATATCCAAATGTGTTCATAGGAATCCTGTCTGCGCATTTCTCAAAGTGACGTGGGGATCTCATTGGTTGCTTTCGGCTATTCCTCTCATATAAAAGAGCAACGCAGAAAGGTCCTCTACAACAGGGGTAGGCAAATGTGGCACTCCAGCTGTTACTGGACTACAAATCCCATGAGGCATTGCAAGACTCTGACAGCCAAAGGGATGACTCCCAGAGGCAGATGCATGATGGGATTTGAGGTTTCACCACAGCTGGAAGGGCTGGAGTTTGCTTACCCTTTCTCTAGACCAGGAGTCTCAAACCTCCGGCCCTCCAGCTGTGGTGGAACTACAAATCCCATGAGGCATTGGAAGATTCTCACAGACATGACTCCCGAAGAGAGATGCATCATGGGATTTGTAGTTTCACCACAGCTGCAGGGCTGGAGGTTTGAGACCCCTGCTCTAGACCTTTGTTGCCTACAACTGGCCCACACACAATCCACTATCAAGTTTTAATGGTAAGATATAACTTCAAACTGCTGAGAAAGAAGATGAGATCTGTGCTACGTGAAGGCGATGTCTGCAGGTAACAATAATAAAAGGATCACTGGTATTTTGCAGCTTCGTATCACACAGTACATCGGCACTATGGGCACACCACCAATGTCTGGCAGATTTGCCAGTTACGGTGGATGGCCAAATCCATTGCAGATCTGGCTGCCAAGAAAACCTCTGACCCACCTGATGTGTATTCCTATGTGATACAGTAGGCATTGAGGTAGAGGAGGGTACACAGGGGTCTATAAGCCTGCATTATGTACCTGTATTTGGAATCACCTCTGATTTTGAGTTCAGTGACCTGCACCTGAATTGCTAGGTCCTGGTGCTTGCTACCACCTCTGTTCAGTTTGTGGCATGGTCAGCAAGGTCTCCCCTCAATTTTAGGTCACATGACCCAGACTTGGCATGTCAGGAGATCTCCTTATTGCAAGTGGCAGGTAAGCGTATGCTCCTTTGCTCTTACCCAGCTTCATTAAAGCCTGTGGCTAGCATAAAAGTGTCTACATGAGCGGCCCTTGTAAAAGGAAAAATTGTATGCTTACCTGTCTGGCAGGTAGTGAGTTAATTCTTCCTTGTCTGATAATGTTTCCCCCGCTGGGCTGCCGGCCCCTATGTCAGTACTGTGTTCCATACAGGCATACAGAATGGTTGTCCACATTTTTTGGACTTCACTGCCAGCACTGCGTTTTTCATATCCGTGACTTTCTAATATTGACAGCCCTGGAGCCTACACCTTAGAACACTTCCTATTATAAGGTGACAACGTTCTAACCAGTTCTCAACGGCTCTTTTCGCTTGTCACTCTGTCACATATTGTTCCAGCAGAGACTACAAGCAACTTTCATTGCACACGCATGTTGTGAGGTTGTCACCATAAGGAAGCCCGTCCATCCTAAGAAAAGATACTTGGCCACTGCTGGAGTGCATGTATCAGAAGTGACTGCAAAGTGGTTGCAGTGGCCACTCCAATATACAACAAAACGGTATTTTCCAAAGCACGTGGCACTGGTCTGATACAGAGTTTCTCTGTAAACTTTTTCTTAAATGATGAGTACTGCATTGCATTATGGGGCTGAACCCCTCACCCTACCATTCCAACGTCACCCTCTGCCTGCACACTCTATTGCTCAAGCCCCGTGGTAGTTAGAGTGGAATGTATTAGAAGTCACAGTGTCAGTCCTCAATGCTATTTATCAGCCTCATTTCCAGTCCAGGATTGCCCCCACATAGTAAATGTTTTACCTTCACTCTCTGGATTAATGCCAAGCCGCTGCTCCTCTCCTTCCAACAGCTTCCTGTACACTGCAATCTCGGCATCCAGCTTCAGCTTGATGTTTAGCAGGTCTTGGTAGTCCTGTAGATATCGGGACAAGTCAGCCTTTGTCTCCAGGAGGCGCCCTTCCAGCTGAGCAATGATGTCCTGTAGGCAGGCGACTTCTTCCAGGTGCTTGGCCTGCATGTCATCCAGCATCTTCTCCAGGGCTTGGTTGCGTGCCCTCAGACCATCTATTTCACCCTGCAGGTCAGATACTTGGGAGGAATACTTGCTAATATCTTCCCTGACAGTCTTGATCCTCTGCTCATTCTTGGTCAGTTGCCCTTTAGCAGAGCTGAGTTTAGTTTGGTACCATTTCTCTGCTTCTTTGATGTTTTTGGTGGTAGCTTGTTCAATCTCCGCACGCAAGGCTTTGAGGGCCGCCGCTAGATCGGGCCGAGAGCTCTCTATCTCCAGGCTCACCTTGGACTCCTGGATTTGGGTTATCAAGTCGGCAACTTCCTCATCGTGAAGCTTTTTAAGGAACTCGATCTCATCCACCAGTTGCTCGATTCTTTTCTCCAGCTCCAGCTTCTGCAAGGTGGCATCATCGACATCTTGACGAAACTCCTTCAAGGTCTTCTCGGCCTCCTCTGATGGCAATGATTAAAGATTGACATGATTATTGCCTTTCATTTTCAATTGGTTTACACATTTTATGTTACGTACACTCGGTTAATTAGGAACTCGTGTATTTCATTGTCATGCCGCTATACCAGATTTCACAAGCAGATGGCACTGCAGATAAAACCTGTAGACGTAGCTCCTGACCAGTTCACCTCTTGAGGTCCAGATTCTCTCTTTCATTCTGACAGTGATGTTTTGAAAATGAAGGAGAGAATCTTGCTGAGGGTGGGACACATTTTTTATTCACAGATCTTAACAAAAGCAACAACACAAAGAGGTCTATTTATGACCAAATAGCACAGCCATTCGCAGTACAAATCTTTCTGAACGTTCTGTGCAAACAGAGGCAAAAACGAACGTTCTTAGATATATTTTCTTTTCGGGTTGAATTCTGGAATGCAATACTACATGTTTGGCCACTAGATGGGGCAGAGGAGCACAAGAAACAAGCCTTTTATTATATGTATACTGTGTTAAACGCTTATTAGGGCTCATGCACATGGCTGCCTATGGCCATACATTGTAAATTCCGGTGTATTTCCCTGCCAGGGAGCCACAGGTAATGCATACAGTCTCCCATAAAAGTATAGACCGGACTTACATAAACACATGTATACAAGTCAGGGGTATGCAGTACCTGTCTACAGCCATTTACTTTTCTGTCTGTGTCCTTGTTGGAGATATTCCCTCACTTCCTGTCTGTTAAGGTCAGTGTCAGCAGGACAGGAAGTGAGGGTAAATCTCTCTCCTGGAACACCCCAGATAGGATAAAACTGAAGGGGGTTCAAATCCTTTCGCACTCTATCCAAAACTAGAAAACAGTTTTTGGCTTGACCCTTGAAGGATAACAGAAAATATATCTGTATACTGCTAAATTATAAGTATCAGCTGCAAATCAAGCGCATTACACAAATCAGACACACGCTAAGCACACCATCCCCAAATATTCATAAGAAAACATGTTCGTAGTGCAAAAAAAGAGAAGCTCCTGAACGAATGAGATGAGACCCCTCTACCTAAGGGCGGGGTAAAGTTCCAGCCACATATATGCAAAAAAAAGAAACTTCTAGGGCAGCTTCCATCATGCTGGAACATATTCCGCTTCACTGCCTGTGACATCACTTGCTAAAAGCTTTGTGTAGAATATTTTAAGACTGGATGTCAGGACAATCAGTAGCTTTGAAGATATATATTGATGAAGTTATATGCAAAGTTACAACTTTTTCTGTAAAAGCCAACCCCACCCTTCCCATCTCTTCAATGTCCCTATTGGTCAGTGAAGCTTCCCATCAGATTAATGGACTAACTGGCAAGCTCAGAAGGTAGAAAGGAGAGCTTAAGGGTCTATTTATAAACACTTTGCAGGGCCTTCTGTTCTATAAATATCTGTGAACATTCATTTTGGGCAAATAATGTCCATAATGCATGTTCTTAATATACACAGTTTTCCTAGTTCAAATGTAGTGCTGTAATATTAAATTATGGCCACTAGATGGCGTATCCAAGTTTGAATGTAGTTTATTGTAATAATACAATATGGCCACTAGATGGAGTTTCCCAGGTTGAATGTAGTTTATTATAATAATATATTATGGCTGCTAGATGGAGTTTCCCAGTTTGAATGTTGCTTGTTGTAGTAATACAATATGGCCACTAGATGGAGTTTCCCAGTTTGAATGTTGCTTGATGTTATAATATTATGGCCACTAGATGGAGTTTCCCAGTTTGAATGTTGCTTGTTGTTGTAATAATATATTATGGCCACTAGATGGAGTTTCCCAGGTTGAATGTAGTTTATTGTAATAATATATTATGGCCACTAGATGGAGTTTACCAGTTTGAATGTTGCTTGTTGTTGTAATAATACAATATGGCCACTAGATGGAGTTTCCCAGTTAGAATGTTGCTTGATGTTATAATATTATATTATGGCCACTAGATGGAGTTTCCCAGTTTGAATCTAGTTTGTTGTTGTAATAGTACATTATGGCCAGTAGATGGCGCTGAGGAGCATAGAAAATCAAAACATTTCCTATGCTCCTCAGCTTCATCTAATAGTCATAATGTACTGTTACAACAACAAACTACATTTGTATATTCCAAAACCATTACACTTTCCCTTAAATGTGAAGCACTAAAATTCAAAATACTGTGTGAAACAAACTTATTAGAAACCAAATATTCTGCTGTTTTTTTTTGCATGGGTTGTTTCCCTATATTTGGTGACAGATTCATAACTCCCAACTGTTCTTCATTTAGAGGAACTGTCCTTCATTTAGACTGAGGAACTGTCCCTCATTTTAAAAGAACTATCCCTCATTTGGAACCAAATCCCTATGCCCCTCTTTCCTCAGTTGTCCCTCTTCTTGGTCTGATGTACGTATATCTATAAAGATGTTCTATTTAACTACTAAAAGTGTTCTTCTGCACTAAAACTTTTATCCTGTCTCAGGGGCGTCTCGGGACCGGGTGTCACTCGGAGCGGAGACTGGGTGACACCTCGCCGTGACGTCATAGCACATGCGCTGTCATCTAACTGATGCTTGATGCCGGCCATCTTAGTGATGGACACCGGCAGAGGGAGGAGGGGACATTCACCCGGCAGGGATGAGGTATGCTGCTGGGTCCCCTCCTCTCTCCTGACACTGTCGGGCTCTCAGTCCATGACCGAGTGCCCGACTTTTTAGAGGGGGTGACACCAAAATGACTGTCAGTCATTTTGGTGTCACTCGGCTCCGGCCCACACCCCCCTTGTGACGCCACTGTACTACCTCTTAATTTTATTGTTTGCTCTTTCAAAAAGCCAGAATAAAGGAAAAGTAATGGTGGAAAAGAAGTGTACTGGGTTTACCCAATCATTTTTGGCATATATATATATAT